TCAGGAAATGGGTGGTAACTTCATCTTGCTAGAGCACACTTTCAACTTCTGCACTCACGCGGTATTATTAATCCGAAACGTTTCGTGGTGGGGGACAAGGGCAGATGTAACTAACGAGGATTTTCTTCCTTTGTCTCTTTGTATTTGCCGACCAGGCGGAAACTGATATGAGACACGCCGACATATTACTTCAACTTGGACGCTGATTAGCAACGCGACGCGACGACGAGTATATATGGAGAAATGTGGGAAATATGACGAAACGGAAATAAAAGTTCAGACGCGACCGTAGGGATTTACGATGAAGATAAGCGGTCAAATTGTACGCAATGCGATAGGCTCTATGTGAAATCGCTGATTTCGGAGGAAATTATAATAATTTTCTTCGAATTGAAAATCTCGCGTTCGAAAATTAATTTTCTTCGAATCAATCGATGTGGATGTGAATAAAATTGATTTCCTACGTCTGATTGAACATTGGGAAATCTCTCTCTTGCGAAAATGGCTTCTAAATAAAAATAAATCTACATGCTACATTTACATTCTTCTATAATTATATTTCTTACGTGTTCAAATAAGCACGATAACTTTACATTTTCCTTGCATTTCTTGCATGTATACCGCATACAAATAGATACATTATTAAATTCATACTATCAATTATATTCAATTTGATTTATTGCTTTACTCAATATGTCATTAATTTAACTATTAACATTAAGACAAAAGAATTAAATAATTTAACTTAGAAAATGTATTGAATTGGAATCAAATTTAATTTTATTATTCACTAAATATTTAATATGGACGTATTCTGAAATTAAAAAATTTAATCCCAAAAAAATTTATTTGCATTTATTTAACATTTTTAATATACATGGAAGTTCAAAATAGTTTGTTCATTTTTCATTTATTTCTTATATATATATATATATTTGTGTCTCCAAATAAATACGATAACTTCATATTTCTCTTATATTTCTTGCATATATAAACTTTTTTTTCTAGATCGTGGTTATCCTTGACTTTACTTAAATTTACATTTGATTTCACGAACTCACGATCCTTCTTTAATTTGATAACACGGTCTTTCTCAGATATAAAGTTATTTCTCATTTTGCAACAACTCTCGCGTGATTTTGCAAAGTCCTTTACTTCGGCAGATCCTTGAATACTTCACGAGGCGACTATTAATAGAAACGCGAATCATGAAGCGGGATCGTATGGGGCAAGGTTGCTAAAGGAGTGCCGTCGCCACTTCGCGAAGTCGGTCGTACGTGCCTATTAATAAACAAAATTAATCGTATTTGCACAGATGCAATGTTGCAGAGCGTGCAATGTCGCATGATGTTCATTTGATGTTCCAATGGGACGTGATAGTTTTTGATCAGAGTATCCGATATATCTAATCAAGCTAGTCATATAGTCGAGATATTAATCTACAATATTTCATAACGATAATTTGATTATTAAATAAAATATCATCGTACTTCAACATGTATCTACAAAACATTATTAAGAATTAAATTAATTAAATTAATTTAATTAATAATAATAATAATAATAATAGCTTTATTGAACGCTGTACAGGTTTACAGTTAAATTGAAAGCAACTTGTATAGTGCATGATAAAATACAATATCCAAAGCATATTACAATAGGCGTGGCTGATTGGATGGTTAACCTGAATAACTAATTATCAACGATAAACATGTGGAAGTAACACAATTTACTGAATGTAAATATGCACGTATATTAGACATCAGATTATTGCTTTGTTTAGTACAAGAATATCAAGTGAACTCGATGAACAGTATACTACAAGTACGATAATTAGATGAATAAATTATGATTATATAAAATGTTTAAGAAGCAAAAAGATAAACTAGTAATTCGATAAAAAATACGTAAGTACGATGGATTAATGTAGAAACAAAGGCTTAATGAATTAAAATTCAATCAATAGGCTTAAAAGTTATTATGAGCAAAACTTTCAATTTAAAAAAACTGGGATTTAACCTTTAAAGAGCAGCGGTTTTTACAATTCTTATAGCTTAATTTCCTTGAACAAGAGTTTGTTATCATTTATTATTTTATTATATGTTTACCTCAAAATGTAATTATTTCAATGCCACTATAATGGCTTTCCCTTCCTATAAACGTTAATGCTAGTGAATAATAAACAGTAAGTGTATTAAAACACATCTTAGCTCATCTAATCCTGCTCACATAATAAACACTAAGTGCATTAAAAAACTAAAGCTTACCTAAAGCTTAGATCATATAATCCTTTAATTCTATTGATTATTAAGAATATCTATAATTATACGAATTTCAACTTTAGTTCCTGTTAAGGAGTAGCCTAAATCATTTAACAATATTGTTTCCTTCGTTGTGGCATCTCTGTATCGATTTTCCTCCTTGGTACTGAAATCACAACCGAGAGATTCCCAGCAGCCGAATTGTGGGCTTGATGCTGGTCATCGCGCGGCTCGCCACGACCCATGTCGAGGCCGAGGCCGACCGAGTGATGCCGAGCCGGGTCGAGCAGGACCGAGCGGACAAGCTTAACGAGCTGACGATGCGCGCGTACGTTTCGTTGCAACGCGATGCGACGCGACGCGACACGACGCGGTTACGCGCGGCTACGCGCGGAGCCGCGATAAAGCCGACGAGCAGAGCGGATGCGCCGTTTCGCAGCGGGTGACGCGACTGCAGCTGCACGCCCATTCAGTAGCGGCCATACATTACTTAAACGCCAAGGCGCATTCATTTTCGGCGTAAATGAAGGCTTCGCTCGTTCGGAAAGCTTATTTGATTTGGGGAAAAAAAAACAGAATTGAAGAGATATTGCTCGATTGAAACGCTATTAACCTCTCAAAATTGACGTCAAAATTTATAATACAGTACTAACTCTGAATCTGTAAAACCATTTAATTTGTGTTAATTAAAAAACACTATATAATTAATTTCAAGGAATCAGAATGACATATAAAAAAATACTTTTCAATCGACACAAACTAAAAATAACATAAGTCAATGTATAATTTCGCACTCAACAATTAACTATGATAACACATATGGTATTATATAACAGTTACGTTATGGAGTGCGAAATTATAACGTTGATGTTAAATTATTTTTAATTGGTATCGATTGATTATAAGTATATTTTAATAAAATAATTTGCAGATGTAACATAAAGAAAATTGTTTCACATTTTTGACAGAGATTTGTAATCGAGTGAGTCTAACAGACTCATCGTTAACTCTGGAGGGTTAAATCTGTGTTTAAAAGATAATCGATAACAAGCTGCCACGCGAAATTGCCATCTAGTTTGTTTCAATGCTGTTTCATGCTGTTACGAGTGTAAAATAGTAATTCAAAATGCGAAAGTTTCAATGAAACAAGAGAAAAAAAGTTATTTTCTTAAAAAATAAAGAGATTTATTGTCTCTCACATACACACATGCACATATTGATATTCTGAGAAAGTAATTCCTTTCTATTAAATTCTAGAGGCTGTAAGATTAAAGCCGATATTTATCGTCGATTTTTATATTAATAAGATCTTCGTAAGTACATAATCTTAAATAGTACAAACTTAATCCTTAATATATATGATGGATCATTCATGAGTTAATTTTCATCACATTTAGAAGTATAAAAATTATTAAATGATTCTTATATATTTGTAAGGTCGTGTATTAAAAAAAAAAGAAAAAAAATAGAGATCACCCAGACAATATTATGCCCAAAATGCGGACCTAAGACGTCTTATGCCTGCATTTGTGATTTAATGTTATCTAGGCATTATTTAATCAAGTGTTCCTAATATTTCAAAGAAAAGAAATACCAGGACCTTATTGTGAATGAATGACCTTATCATATGAACTAAGGATTAAGATGTTATAAACTAATCAGATGCCCATATTCATAGCCAATCCTTATATTTAATGCTTGGTTTATGCTTAGGTCTTAATCCTAAAATCCTAAAATTCAACCAATAGAGTTACCAGTTCTAATTGGTCCTATCTGAAATCTGCATTCCATTGGCTGAACTGGGCATTAATCTTTCTTAAATTTATCTTCAGATTCTCTTATTGGCTATTGAATATCTAAAGATAAACTTAAGAAAACTTTAAATATAAGGCCTGATTATGAATACTGGCAAGAGAATCACATTAGTATCTTGAGATTAGTATCTTTACATAAAATAGTCTTAAAATAAGAACTAAATACCAGTCACAGAATCGTATTAACATCTTAAGACATTATTTGATTATAAAATAAGAATGGACTATAAATACCCCGATCTGTATCAGCCAAACCCAAACTAACAATAACAGTAATTATATCAATATTATAATTTCCCATTTAATACAAATGTAATATAACACATATATTATGTATAACAGATCCATTGTTGAGCAGGAAATTATATTGATGTAACGTTATTGCTTATGTTTATGTTCAACAGGAAGCTATTAGAGAAAACAGCTATGCCACAAGGAGTTGATGAATTATCGATTCCTGACTACCGACATGATTGTTTCAGTACAATCAATGATTGCGTTTATCAGAGAAAATTAATTAGTTAGAGTTTAGTAATTCTTTAACACGATTAGTTTCTGCCTTTAGCCCTTTGCTGGATCTAAGTGTAGAAACCAATCATACTAAAGAATCACTAAACGCTAATTGATTAGTTTCTCCGCTGAACGTAACCAATGCTATCTATTGACGAGAGTAGTTTCAGCCATGAGAGTAGTTTTTATCGAATTGCATTCGATTCGACGAATATTCCAATTAGTGTCCTAATATCATCGTCGATCCATTGGTTATCCGCTCGAGGCTCGCGTGTACCTCCGCCCCTGCTCGCTCTTTCGAGCGCCCGCGCCAGTGGTGGTTTACTCGCTCGGCGTCAACCCGCTTCCCTCCGCCTGCCCCTTACCACGCGCGTTCTCTCTCTCGCGTGCGCGCGCGCGAGAGACAGGCAGTTGGGTCGAGCCGCGCCGAGCGGTGCCGAGCGGGACCGAGCACCGGGGTCGAGCGGAGCCGAAGGCCCCGCGGTGGCCGCGACGCGCGCGAGTAGCACCACACCGCCGGAGCGTGTGTGTGCGTGCGTGCGCGTTTCTCTCCGCTTTACTACTTCAGTACTCCGCTCCGTTTTCCTCTTTGCTCGTACTCTCTTCTGCCTGGCCGTCCGGAGCAGACGCGGAGAACCGAGAGAGTGAGAGAGAGAGAGAGAGAAAGTCCGTTGTTATCCTTGGCGCGCGTCGTCAGCGTCAATCAACCATCAATCGTAATCGTCGTCATTATTGTTTGTTATCTTCGTTAATCACCGTCTACGTATATCTTGCCGCGTGTGTACGCCGCGTCCTTTCCTACTGGCCCGCGCGCGTGCATGGACGACACGCGCGCACGAGCCGACGAGGATATAGCCCTGGATTCGTCTCGTTTACGCTCGTCCGCTCGGCTCGGCTCCGCCGCGAGCATCGCCGCTGCCGCTGCCGCTGCCGCTGTCACTGCCACCGCTGCCTCCGTAGCTACTACCACCACCTCCACTACCTCCTCGACCGCCGCCGCCACCTGCCGCGTCGCGAGACGCAAGAAGAAGAAGAGGAGGCGTCAGCGACTTGTTATAAGCAACGACGACGTCCCTGCCGTCGCCGTCGTGGTCACATCCCGTGGTGTTACCACTTCAAGTAGCGTCGCCGTAGCCGAAGACAACACCGCGACCGACGTCGCCACCACCGCCGACGCTGTCGTCGTCCTCGAGCCTAACGCTGACGCCGCCGCTGCCGCGAACGCATCCACCGCTGGAACAGACCCAGCGGCGGCGCGGGTCGATAAACTGAGGAGCCGCCTCCACGGCGAGAAGCGGCACGCGTGCGGCCGCCTCCTCCGTCGGCACCACCGCCGGCGTCACGCTTCTCAATCGACGCGCCGGCAAACGCTCGCCACGGCGATGCAACGCCGGCGGACGTAGAAGCGCGATGACGATGGACCTGCAGCGGCTAATCAACGAGGTGCACGCGAGGCCCGCGATCTGGGACCAGAAGAATGTCAACTACCACAACCGCGATGTCATACTGAAGATGTGGCGGGAGATCGCGAGGGCATGCGAGGTGTCGAGTGAGTATAAGGATCCTCCCCGGCCTCGGATATGCCTGGATCGACGGATGATGCTCTTCCTCTTCACCCCCGCTCAATGTATTTCTCGTCCCTGTATTTCTCTGTAATATATATAGTATTCTGCGTGTACGTGTTGCCACGCACGTGTGCAGTCGTTGGTTGCTGGTCCGCGAGATTGGTTGACCGCTCGATGGGTGGGTGGGATTCGCTGGGTACGTCGATTGGTTTGTACGATGTTCATATGATTGTTGAGCTTCGCGACCCTGAGGTCGTTCGAGATATCTCGCTATGCGTAATATGAATCAAAAGACGAAGGCGTGATGAGATGGAGAAGGAAATAGAGAAAGAGAAGGAGAGGTGAAGGATCGAACGGGTCGCCGCGATTGCGGAGCGGACCCGGGCGGCCACCAAATCAAACGCGAACGCGGACCGCTCATTGGAACCACGCTCGTCTCTGGAAGGTCGATAGCTCGCGAAAGGAGAGGCCGGCCAGAGAGATAGACTGCTAGTTCACGCGGATCTCCGCCAGGTTGCACGTCGATACCGCACGACGGACTCTGGCATGAATCGCCTTTTTTTCCCTTTTTTTTCCCGAAGATGTATGTACGTACATGTGTACGTACAACGCGATTGCTCGCGGTAGCACGTGCGCGCGGAATGCAAACACGTCTGTCACGACAATCGAAAGTAATGCCGATTGTAGAACAATACTCTGGACAAGAATGCAGATACTTGTTTGACGAAGCACGCGAGAGTAGTTAAATTAAAATTGCTTAGATATGCCGAAATGATGGAAATGAATAAATCGAATTCGATAGATCCTTTGCCACAAATACGTATTATTCTGATTAGAATTATGACACGAAACGTAGCGATTTTAATTTATATTTTTTTATGTATACAGAGAAAGGTTTCTTTGTTATACGGTTAAAAAAAATTTCTTTGATTTGAAATTAAAATAAAATAATTTATTTGATTTTACAAAATTATATTCAAATCAAAGAAATGACGTTAAAATCAAAGAAATTTTTTCCTTAAAGTAACATTTCTTTGAATTGAATAAACCTTTTTCTGGACTCTTATCATTTTTGCGTATATTTGATTTTCTAACATTTCGTCACTAAATTAAAGAGTTTAACGAGTGGCAGCTAAATTTTGGCAGAAAAGGAATATTAAGGATACAGTTTTCGAGTTTTTGGAGTAGGTAATATCCGAGCGGAACAAAAAGTCATGATGACATCAAAATGGCTCCAAAATGATTATTAAATACTTTTTTTCAGTCAGTTTGACATTATCGTGACCTGTTGTTCTGCTTAAAGTCATCATACGTTCATTATCGATCGCTCTTTCTGAATCACGTAAAGACGTGATCATCGCTCTGTTCCAGCGGATGTCGCCAAGTCCAAATGGAAACATCTACGCGACAACTTTCGAAACGAGCTGAAAAAGACCTACCGGGGTAAATGCGACGGTATCGGCGGCACCGAGCACGACTCCAAATGGGTCTGGTTCAAGAGCCTATTCTTCCTGCGGGACCAAATGAACTCAAGGGTGATCGGCTGCGCTCTGTCACAAAACTGCGTTAGTGCGGTCGGGATGCGTTCTTCGCCGGATGGCACGCAGATCGAACCGCAGATCGACATTCTTGAGGGCCACGAGGAGACTCAGTTCGATGACTTGGACGGTGACTCTTGCCAATCATTGCTATCCAACGATGACGGCCTGCATCAGGTGATGCCGCCGCCAAAGATGAACAAGATAATCAGTCGGAAACGAGCGCTAATGGACGCGATCGAAAATGATTACGGCGTGGAAGTGGATCGAAAGCGATATGAATCATTGCAGAAGAGGCTGGCGATCGGTCCGGAGGATGAGGACGACACCTACCACTTTCTCATGAGCGTACGAAATCCCCTGAGAAGCCTGCCGCTCGATAGGCAGATGTTTGTTCGTCTCAAGATCCAGGAGTTGGTCTACAACGAAATCAACTCGCAAAATCAACAGCAGCAGCAGACCGCAGGTCGTGGAATCTACGACGCTTCCTCACAGGGCCAAGATGTGAAACCCCCGCGCGCCGGTAATGGCGACGTCGTCAGCGACATGGCGAATCCGGCGTCGTTGCTACAGAACTGCACGCCCGAGGGCTCCGGCGACGATGCGTTCTTCGGCTGACGAGAGCCCGTTTGCTGTTTAATTCGCTAATAGGACGTAAGAATTATAATTTTAATAGAAAATAAACGATGGTATTTTTTCAGTAACCTTCGCACGATCTTTGCGCGATCTTTTTTCTTTCCACCCCACATTATGATATCCCATTTCCAATTCCTTTTAATTCGTATTAGAAGGAAGTCAGAAGTTTTCAATTTGAATCTCTAGTCGTACAGTGAAATTTTTTCGTCAATTTGAAAAATTGACTGAAAATATCGCAAGAGAGTTTTTTAATTTTATATTACTCGTTATTTTTTTTTATTTTTATGTAATTATTAGCGTGTTATTGGAGTGTTTCTGACGTTATTACATCTTAATTTTTATTGTTCTCTTTAATGATTTACAATTAATAAAAATTAATAATATTCCATACATTCTTTAGATAAAATTAAATGCAATTTTTTTTAGTATGACACAATTTGAGCTAAATATAATGTGTATAAATAACATTTATATATTTAGCGAATTTATAAGACTGGAATGAACTCCACACGAGTAATGAAGGGTTAGAGATAATGCTCACATGCTAAGGGAAAGGAATTGTTTCTCAATAGATGCAAGTATTTGCATTTAATATCATGTTAAGATAATCAAAGGAAAGTTTTATAATTCACCATACTCATCTAAATTTCCGCAAAACGAATACACAGGCATGTTTATAAAAGTGAATAACATCGCTCGATATACATATTTTCATATCGCGAGAATGATACTTAAAATATCCTCTACCTTGGTTGTCGGCTGGGTAAGCTTTTTAATTAATGAAGCACCAGCCGCCGGTACAATTAGTGTTATTAGCACCGCGTGGCTCACTTATCTACGTCACAGATAGAAACCTAATTATATTCTGCCGTAATAATTGATTTCTCGGTTCGCGTATTGCCGCATTTTTTACTCTTCGTGATTAAAAGACGGGTGTCAAAGCATCTCATGCTATATTGACACTGATCTAGCTCAACACACGCAGTGATCAGACTAAAAGAATACAATGTGAAAGGATACGATGCCCTAATCGAGGGAAAGCAATCTGGGAGGATGCGAAATTGATCAAATTTATCAATGTCGATATATATCATGTTCGTTTACTTTATTTTTCCAAATGGTCGCGCGTGAGTATACAATGATATATCTAAATTGATTTGTATACTCTAAACTATTTAACGAACTTTCTTCCGCACTTAAATAATAGTAAATATAAAGTATTTTAATCTCAAATCGAGTATAAGTTTGAGATTTTCGTTTCCAACAATAACGAGAACAACCAATCTTATTGCAGAATTATATTTAATACTATTTTAATTTTTATATTATTGGAATTATTGTATTATTATAAATTGTTATGTTATTACACAGAATTATTGAATATTATATATTTCAAATCATTGTATTATTATATTATTAAACGGAATTATTTTATTATTATAAATTATTATAATTACAATAATTTTATATTATTATGAATTATTTAATATCATTATAAATTTCTTTAAGGTATTTGTGGCAGTCACAATTTCAACTTGCTCATGTGTGAATTCAGTCTCGAGTATATGTGTTATGAGTCGTAATTATAAAATATAATTTAATAAGTGATTTTTACGTTAGCACATATAAAGATATATTTATTAAATTTATGAATAAATAATACATTATGTAATATTCAGGGAACACGTTAACCTATTTAAGTCAGAGATCAGCTTTGTACACGTTGTGCGAGACACACTGGTCTTCCCTTTTCATGAATTCTAGCTGTTTCGACGAGTTTTCTGAAACAGACTAATGAGGTACGGAACATGAATAGAAGTATCACACCTGCATCATTATGACATTTCTCGAGGATTGTAAAACCGCTAATAGCGCTGAAAAGACCATATTTCTCTCGCAAATCTCTACTTGCTAATTTAAATGCTTTTGTGCATGGATTTTTGAATAATTAAAACTGAAATTAACGTTTTTAAAATCTCAATATACGAATTATTTTCAACGTGCTTTCATAAAAATTATATTTTTTATTTAATATTGAAATATTCTGTCTTTTATGAAATGATAAACATATAATATATAACAAAATTATTATGGCTAGACTTTTTATATTTCGATAAGAAATTTATTAAACTGATCATGTTTCTTTTAAAATAATATTGGTGAATAACGTTATACGTTTTAAAAATTAATGGTACACTGTTCTTTGTGATATATTTTTTCGCTATGCTCGAAAGAGAATTCATATGGGTAAAATACGAGGGCGTGTAGACACGATTACTCCACCCTATGCGTTACAAGTGTAATAGAAAAACAGAGTTATTCTGTTCGGGCTGTTGATGGGTGGACATCGATCATTTAATGGTCACGAGTGCTGGGACAGAGCATATCAATCATACTTTTAAAAAAAGAAACTAACTGTCACAACGATGATTAAGTTTAATAGGAGATAGCGTTATTATATATATATATATATTAAAATTGTACATATATATTACAATTTTTTAAAAATTTTAGTGAGAAACGATACAAACAAATGTGTAGTACAAATTATGAAGAGGATATTTTTTAAATAATAATTTTAGAACTTTTAGAAGAATGGAGGAGCTTAGGAGAAATACCAAAAAATATATTTTATTGTCACGGATGTTTTATCATTTTTCACAACGATGATTAAGTCTGATAGAATAGCGTTGTTTTATATACATTAACTAAATTTAGTTAAAATTATAAAATAAATTTAGTTAATATAAAATAACGTTATCCTGTAAAACTTAATCATCGTTGTGGCAAGTGCTAAAATATCCATAATGATAAAATATATTTATCGATATACCTATTATAAATTCTTCATTTTTTTTAATTTCTAAAATTTCAGCATTTAAAAAAATATCCTTATAAAATTTTCTAATAAATAATTTTTATTAGAAATTAATAAAATAGTACACCAAAATATGTTATAGAGATTATTAAGGGGATATACTTTAGATATCAAATTTTAGAAATTTAAGAAAAATAAGGTGTTTATTATTGAAAAATATATTTGATTGTTACGAAGAATTCATTTATCTAATTTTACAATTCTTTCTCTAAAAATCTCTCCCTGAGCTCACAGAGATTTTGTAACAAGCCGATACATCGTCGTCGATTCAATTTATGTAAATTTCACAACTCGATTAACGGCGATACTTCATCGAATCGCGTTACGTACCGACGTTGGCAAGCTAATGGACAGTTATTATGTCGAACTATCGTCTGACCGGCGAATAATGGTCGATGGATATTGCTGCGGATGGGCGATATGGAAGCGCTAATTTTGTTGTCGCATCGAGTCTACGCTGCGTCGAAATGCAAGGCGCATATGCGCTCCCTGATCGCTGGCTGCGTATACGCATGCACGCATGCATTGTCCCCGTGTATCACGGCGTCTATATCAAAAGCCTTCTCGTGGTGAGGCTATCGAGGGTGCTCCAATCCAACATTCATCACTTTTACTATTCTGATATACCGAGTGGTTGATTAATCGTTGATCCCCAAAAAAATTTATGTTTGCATTCCGTTCCGCACGGAATTTCGCCTTTTTTTTTACAAAAAAACATTTTGATAAACGACACACGGAAAAAACGATTTTTGCTAAAGTACTTAGTTTTTGTCGTACTTTGTACCTAAATTTTTAGATAAATGCAGATAATTGAAAATAATTTTTTCGATTCTAGATTTTAATCCTTCTCAGCGAGGAAGTGAAATACAAAGTACGGCAAAAACCAAGTATTTTTACTTTAAAAATAATTATAAAATAATTATATAGGAAACAAGCATAAAGAGCAAACGCTGCCAAAAGACATTCTAGCAATCAGCTTGACCATTCATAATTATTTTAATGATCTAACAAAATTGATTTTAGATCTACACAGGAAGAACGATTTTAATGAAGTATTTAAAATTTTAGCTAGAAATAAATCTCTGAAAATAATTTTGTTGGACGATCAAAATAATTAAGAAACTCAAGCATGATGAATAATGTCACAAAAAATTTTGATATTCTAGCAACTAGCTTGAGCAATCTATAAAATTATTTTAAGTGGTCCAATAAAATATTATCAGATTTGTATCTAAAGTTTTACTTCATATTGATACTTCAGCAAAATTCTGGGGCGCCGAATGGCTCACCGCTCAATGCGATTGACTCACGATCTGTAGATCCGGGTTCGATTCCATTTGCGCCTCGCATACGCGATTTTTCGCAGTTCGCCGTTCTGATTCGGCGTTAAACTATCAGGTTCCCATATATCGAGTGGATATATGTATGAATCCTTCCAGGCTGAAGGGTTGGAGGATATTAGATTAACAACCTAATTCTGGAAAATAAAATCCATTGTTAGGAAAATAAGATTGCAAGTCAATATTTATAAATCTATATCAAATTCTATTGAGCTTCTAAAGAGAATCGACATTTTATCAATGCAACATTGATAAAACGATCTTCTGCAATCGCTGCGAACGAAGCAGCGATTGTGAAAAATCAATATTAATTTGATTTCGATTTATGAACTAGGATAAAAAGATTCATTAAATTTTACATAGAATGCTCCTAATTATTTATCAACTAATTTATCATACATTAAGAAAAAAATGCTATTGATTCATGAATTAAAATCTGTATTACGGGTTGTCACTAACATAAATGATTCATATATTTTTATTGACATAAAGGCATAAATTATTATTTCAATAACTAAGGCCTACATTATGTCAATAAAAATTTACATGAATTAATTACTTATGTATAATGATAGCCTGTAATATAAACTTTAATTGAATCAATAGCATTTATTTCTCAGTGCATTAAAGAGCTTTTTGAAGATATTTTTTTGAAGATGTTTTAGAAACATCATTCGTACGCACGAATGATGTTTCTACTTCGAACCGATGTCGAATGTGGAGAAGCAATCGATAACGAAAGAGAGAGGAGTATTCTTCTGAAATTCCCGAGAAGAAGAACTCGGGAGAAAGAAAAGTTAATCTTCCCAACTTTAAAAATAAATTCCCTCGAGTTCTTCCTGGGAAGTGAAGTAGACCACG